ACAAATTCTAGAGCAGCAGAACCCACAAAAAGACAGAGTGAAACAAATTTCCAGCCCAAGACGACCTGGATGTTTGATTGGAAAGGTCTTTTGAGCCAGGCTGCAAGAGGAACACAGTTTAGTGTGGGCAGCACCAGCAAAGACCAGGCCTCAGTGAACTGGAAGCAGTCCTTAGGGGATTGAATCAAGGGGAGCTGTGGTGGTTTCCAGACTTCTCAACCCACAAACACCAAAGGTGTTTAGAAGGTCAGCATGAAAGGTCTGTTGGACTGGGCAACAGAGGAGCTTGGCCCCACCCCAGTCCTGGCACAGCCCCAGGATGGTGACTGCTTCTGGAGCTCTTTGCCTACAAACAGAGGGGGAACCTAGTGGCTGATCAAAGGGGGATTACAGGGATCTCTTTGCTGGTGGTGAGGAAAGATTCTCTTGCTTTACCCATGCTTGGATCTGGGCCACAGTTCTGGGTGGTGGTCCTGGGGCAAGGAGGAGTGCTGGCATGCTGGAGCTTATAGTGGCAGTGGAGAGGAAATTCTCCTCACAGTTCCAAAGCAGAAAAGTGTGCTTCCGGTAACTCACAGACCAGAGCACAGGCCAGGAAAGGAGTAAACACCTCGCCCTTGATCATACCACTTTGGAAAAACTGAAAATTTACAGGTCCCTAGAAGTATTTCTGAAAACAGCTGCACAAAACCCCCAAAGCTTGGGACAGTACATTCTCCACACTAGAAGCAGACCCCTACCTTAACAAAGATTTATAACTCAAGTAATTGGCTGGGATCATGAGCAAACTGCACAAAAAAGTCAGACCATAGAATCTTTCTTCGGTGACAAAGAAGATCAAAACATACAACCAGAAGAAGACAACAGTGTCAAAGCTCCTACTTTTAAAGCCTCCAAGAAAAATATGAATTGGTCCCAGGCCATGGAAAAGCTCAAAAAGGATTTTGAAAAGCAGGCAAGGGAAGTAGAGGAAAAACTAAGAGTGATGCAAGAAAATCATGAAAAACAAGTCAACAGCTTGCTAAACGAGACCCAAAAAAATACTGAAGAAAAAATAACACCTTAAAAATAGCCTAACCCAAATGGCAAAAGAGGTCCAAAAAGCCAATGAGGAGAAGAATACCTTAAAAAGCAGATTTGACCAAATGGAAAAGGAAGTCTAAAAGCTCACTGAAGAAAATACTTCCTTAAAAATTAGAATGGGCGAAGCAATTGACTTTATGAGAAATCAAGACATTGTAAAGCAAAACTGAAAGAATGAAAAAATGGAAAACAATGTGAAATATCTCATTGGAAAAACAACTGACCTGGAAAATAGATCCAGAAGAGATAATTTAAAAATTATTGGACTATCTGAAAGCCATGATAAAAAAAAAAAGAGCCTAGACATCATCTTTCAAGAAATTATCAAGGAAAACTGCCCTGATATTCTAGAACCAGAGGGAAAAATAGAAATTGAAGGAATCCACCAATCACCCCCTGAAAGAGATTCCCAAAGGAAAACCCCTAGGAATATTGTAGTCAAATTCCAGAGTTCCCAGGTGAAGGAGAAAATATTGCAAGCAACCAGAAAGAAACAATTCAAATATTGTGGAAACACAATCAGGATAACACAAGATTTAGCAGTTTCTACATTAAGGGACCAGAGGGTATGGAATATAATATTCCGGAGGACAAAGGAGATAGGATTACAACCAAGAATCACCTACCCAGCAAAACTGAGTATAAACCTTCAGGGGAAAAAATGGTCATTCAGTGAAATAGGGGACTTTCAAGTATTCTTGATGAAAAGACCAGAGCTGTAGAAAATTTGACTTTCAAATACAAGACTCAAGAGAAACATGAAAGAGAACTCATAAGGGACTTATTAAGGTTGAACTGTTTACATTCCTGCATGGAAAGATGATATTTGTAACTCATGAGACCTTTGTCAGTATTAGGGTAGTTGGAGGGAAAAATTATATGGATAGATAGACAGATAGATAGCTAGATAGAGAGCACAGGGTGAGTTGAAGTTGAAGGAGTGATGTCTGGAGAATAAAATTAAGGGGTGAGAGAGGATTATACTGGGAGAAGGAGAAAGGGAGAGGTAGAATGGGGTAAATTATCTCACATAAAACAGACAAGAAAAAGGCTTTTACAGTGGAGGGGAAACCGGGGAAGGTGAAAGGGAATGAGTGAATCTTATTCTCATTGGATTTGGCTTAAGGTGGGAATAACATACACACTCAATTGGGTATGGAAATCTATCTTACCCTACAGGAAAACAGGGAGGAAGGGGATAAGAGAGCAGGAAGATGACAGAGGGGAGGGTAGATCAGGGGAGGGGGTAATCAGAAGCAAACACTTCTGAGGAGGGACAGGGTCAAAAGAGAGAATAGAATAAATGGAGGACAGGATAGGATGAAGGGAAATATAGTTAGTTTTTCACAACATGACTACTATGGAAATGTTTTGTGTGGCTACACATGTATAACCTGTGTCGAGTTGCTTGCCTTATCAATGAGGATGGGTGAGGAGGGAGGAAGGGAGAAAATTTGGAACCCAAAGTTTTAAAAACAAATGTTAAAAAAATTGTTTTCACATGCAACTGGGAAATAAGATATATAGGCAATGGGGTATAGAAATCCATCTTGCCCTGCAGGAAAATAGAAGGGGAAGGGGATAAGAGAAAGAGCAGGAGACGGAAGGGAGGGCAGATTAGGGGAAGGGGTATTCAGAATGCAACTCCATCTTGGGGTAGGGGGAGGAATGAGATGGGAAGAAAATTTGGAACTCAAAATCTTGTGGAAGTGAATGTTGAAAACTAAAAAATAATTAATTAATTAATTAATTAATTAATTGAAATTTGAGACACAAAAGAAAAGAAAAGAAAGTCACCCAAAATTATTCCATAACATTCAGAGTTCTAAGGACCTTCTCAACCCAGACTCATTTTGTTCTAAGGATGCACCCTGTTATGATCTTAAAGGTTTATTTTTCTCAATCTTTTCTTTATTTGGATATCATTACATTGCACATGTGCTTTGCCAATATAACGTCTCTGAAGTATCAGTGTTGTCCAATTTAAATACTCTATACAGGACTCATTATTTTGCTAAGAAGTTTTAATATTGATTATCATTAATAGTAATAAAAATAGCAATCTTTCCCATAGAAGGAATTGCATGGAATTGAATTTAAGTGGGCAGGTTTTATGTTTATAGAAGGATTATTCTGACTAGCCAAAAAAATAGACAGCATTTTCACCATATCTTTTTGCCACATGGTTTAGGATTTCTGTGAAAGTATCACCACTGGCCTAATAGAAAATAAATTAGAAAAAATATTTTAAAAAATACATATTACTTAAGTAGGAATATTTTCTGTTTGATTAAGAAATTGCTGTTAAAACCAGAAAAAATTCTGACAGAAATTAGGCTTAAACAAAAAATCATTTGCCACATTCCACAATAAATTCAAAATGAATGTGACTTTTATATAAAGATCATAACATAACATAAAAAATGGGAAAAGAAGATCATATATAAATCTTCTAAATATACCTTTTAAATATATTTTTAATATATATTTATATTTAATATATTTAATATATATTTATATTTAATATATATTTAAATATATACCTTTTAAAGCCATGGGTAGGAGATATACTCTTAACCAAATAAGAGACAGAATTGATTACAAAAGATAAAATCATTAAGTTTGATTATATGAAATTGAAAAGCTGCTGCACAAACAAAATTAACATATTTGGAATAAGAAGAAAAGTAGTCAGATGGGAAAAAAATCTTTGTACCAAATTTCTCAGATAAGAGTTTGGTATCCAAGACATATAGACAACTAACAAGTATGTGGGCATATGAAAATGCTATTATTCCCCAATAGATAAAAGGATAAAGGAAATTTTTAAAAAAACAGTTCTTAAAAGTTCCCACATACTCCAAAATATTTATGGTAGCACTTTTGTGGTAACAAAGAATTGAAAACAAAGTAGACACCCATTGACTGGGGAATGGCTAAACCAATTGTGGTACGTGAACATAATGGAGTGTTACCTTGCTGTAAGAAATGAATATGATCAACACAGAAAGGATGGAAAGATTTACATGATCCGATGCAGAGTAAAGTGAGTAGAGCCATAAAAATAATATGCACAATGACTACAACAATGTAAATGGAAAGAACCACAAAACAAACAAACAATTGTAAAACTACAGAGAACAAGCATAGCCCCAAAGAAGAGAAAGAAAAGACATCTCCGCCCTATTCCTTCGTAGGGATGGAAGGTACACAGGTATTATACATAATATATGTTTTCAGATTTGATTTTGCTGCTATTATCTCTTCTTTTTTGTTATCTGGAGTGGCTCTCTGGGAGGGGGAGGAGAAAGATACTATGAGAAATATGATGATAAAAGATAATCAATAAAAATGTATTTAGAAAAACGAACAGACCCAGGAAGAAGCAACCTTTCCAGCAGCTGAGCCAGGATTGAAACTCAACCTTCCTATTCCAAATCCAATGCTCTTTTCATCACATCACACTACATCCTATCTCATTTCATGCTGGAGGCATGAACAATTTTCAATAGAAGCCCTATCCATGCTTCTTCTGGAGGCTTCATTACACTGCAAAGGCTAAAAGCACAGCAGCTCAGAGACACTCACTGTCCTTCAGAGTAGTGTGATATGGTGGGGGAGGGGACACTAGGTTTACAGTCAGAAAACCTGGGGTCCAACCCTCACTCTGCTACTTACTACTGTTAGATGACTGAGCAAAAATTAGTAAGTTTAACAGAGATAAATGTAAAGTGACAGATCTGGGTTCAAAACATACACTTTATAAGTATATGATTGGGGAGTTATAACTAGACAACAGTTTGCTCATTAAGGATCTGGGTGTTTTAATGGCCTAGGAGGGAAAGTTGAGGCAGCAGTGACGTGGCAGCCCCAAAGGAGGAGGCAATTTAAGGTTGCATTAAGAGAGCCCTTGTGTAACCATCCTTTTCATGGGGTCGCGTTACTGCCCAATGAACGTCTAGTGAGGACAGTACTGCTAACGCCTACACACACACACAAAAGAGAGGCCTTGTGCTCAGGGACTAGACGATTTCTGAGGTCCCCTTTAATTCTAAACCCTAGAATTCTCTGATCTACACAGACAGAGCTTATGATGCTGGGGAGAAGAACATTTATGATGCTGGAAAAACAAGTGGACTCTAATCCTTTGGTGTATGAACAGAACATATTTATTTACCACATTTATTATGTACCCAAGAGAGACAGAAGGCTGGCCTTGGAATCATGAAGATCTAGGTTCAAGTTAAGCATCTGACACATAATGGATGTGTGACATTAGGCAAGTCATGTAACCTCAGACTTTCCCAGGCAACTCTATAAGACCACGAGTTACAGAACAAATTCCAATCTAAATTGATGAAGGGAATTTGTCATTAGGAGCTCCCTACACCAATAGAAACACAAATCTAGTATGCCTGCCCCCCCCCCCCAAAATATTAAGTACCTCCTCTGTAAAAGACATTGTGCTAGGCATGCAAAGATAAAACAGATATGATCTCTGACCTCACAAAATCTATAGTCTAGTAGGGGAGCATCTCTTTGCATTCATTTTCCAGCCAGACATTTATTTTTATAATTCATTAGTTTGTGCCTTTGAAGTATACTAGCAATGCATGGGATAGATTTTTGCCCCTTGTGAAATATAAATGGTTGGATTATGTCATGAGTAGGGCAAAAGTGGCTACTGAGGTCAACCAGTGGCCAAGAACTCCTTTTGAAGAACAAGATTGGATTACATGTGTGACACTTTGCTACCAAAAAAGGCACCCAGGGCTACTTCAGTCCCTGTGGGCACCTTGTACTGTGCATTGATTAGGCAAGAAAACAATCTCAAGGAATAGGCTGTTCAGTTAATGTTTCAGGGTTTCCAGGAATGATTACGTGGATCCAGTAAGTTCATTAAGGTCATCAAAGCCCCAAGTATTGAAAATAGCCAATAAAAAACCCACCCAGGGAAGCATTATAGTTTACTCTGTCATTAGAAATAAGTTCAGTTCAGGTCCGACTAATCTGTCTGTGAGGACATAGGACGAGTCACTAAGGACTTTGTTGTTCAAAGGTTGAGTAATAAGGTGCTTGAAACATTCCTGCGTGAGGATGACACTGATTGTATGTTTTGACCCTTTCTGGGCAACATCTCTATCACTTACTGACTTTACTTCATTTTCAGAGAGCTAAATGGGAGTTTGCCTTGATTACTTTTTAATCTATTTCCAAACCTTTTCAAAAACTCCATGATATCACTTGTCTTTTTAAAAAAATTTCTTCTATTTTAATTTCTACTTCTACAATAAAAGCAATGGTATGCCCTGAAAAGGTGAAAAACAAAATACAGTTGTAAGGAAACAGATTTCAGGGAAAACAGACCTTGGTAAGAAAATATATTCCACTTGATTGTTCAAGGGTTATCCTGAAGTTTAAGGGAAACAGATTTTTTTAATGACAAAAATACTGTTTTTCTGAAAAGTCCTGCCATACATACTAAACAAGCCCAGGCTGTATTTTCCAGTAAATATCACATCATCATAGTATTGGCTCCTTAAACACACAGCCTTTGCTCTTTCTTCCTCACCTCTGTATTCCTTCTTTCCTCATTTCTCCATTCTTCCCTCTTTATTTTTTGACATACCCAGTGATGAATAGATTTCTTCTCTCCGGCTCATACACAACCTCTCTTGTCATGCACCCTCTTTGTCAAATACATGCTGGCACTCCACCCCCCATCCCTTTGGGTTCACTCCCCCTATTTGACATACAGACTCTGTCACACATTATACACCCCTTTAGTTCATACCCATGATCTCTTCACATTCACATTTAATGATCCATCAGCAATACAACGGTTCTCCCTTCCTCGCCCTACCACTCTTGCCAAAGTCTCCCACGTGGATGTGGACCTGCTGTAGATATCCTGCCTGACACTTTTTATTTTGAGCAGTTTCACCTACATGCCATACTTGATATGAAGGCAAGAAGGCCAGTAATAATATCAGGAAATGGAACCAAAATACTAACGACCTTTATTGCAAGAAATTCCAATGCTCTGGACACATGTAAAAAAAATGGAAATGGGCAAGATGCCCAACTGGCCATAGTGTGATGGGCTGAAATGGGAACGTGGTGTACAGGACAAATATTCATAGGTACAGGGCAGGCAGAAGTTGAGGTGTCACCTCTTCAACCCTTCCACTACTATGATCTTGATCTGAGCATTTATTAGCTTTTCCCTACTAATCAAATCTTCACGGCTCTAGCATCTTCCTTTTCTAGTCCATCTTCCTACCATGAGGCTAATCTTTTCATTTAACAGCTCTGATCATATCCCTCCATCACTGAAAACTTTTGTTGGTTCTCCCCAATGCTTACCAAAAAATAATTCCAAACTCCTGACATCAGTTTTGCTCCTACCTATCTTATATCACACACACTACTTGTATTTGTGCATATTTCCCTCACTACTCCTCCTTTCTATGAGTTACCCACGTTTGCTCACATGCCAGGAATGCTTTTCCCCACTAACTCTACAAGCTCAAATCTTACTCATTCTTCCAGTCCCCCTTAAAGGCCATCTTCTCCAAGAAGGCTTCCTGAATATACTTTGACTCTCTCCTTAACTTGTATGACGTTTTGTATTTATCCGTGATGCACTTATCTTCTTCTGGGCTACACTCCAAGACTCCGATACTCCTTCAACCACCAGACAGGTCCAGGGTCTACTCATCTGCCTTGCCCCGCTTCTCTTTTCACATCAGCCACCAGTCCAAACCCAACGAGCCTCCTGCAATCCATTCTGGGAGAGATGACCTTAGTGGAGTAAGCCTCAGGCTGAGGAAAACTGGTTGGTGATTGGACAGTAAGTACTTAAAACATGCCACCCTAAGCATGTGCCTTAAATCTTCCCCTCCTTTGATCTTTCACCTGTTATTCAGGAATTGATAAGTCAGTATTACCTTTATTTCTGTTAAAATCAAAACAAAAGAAAACAAACAAAAAGAACCCCACATGATCGTGGGCTGACTAGGCAGAGGCCCCTTCAGTGGCCACCACACCCCAACGCCCTCCCACTCATCCATGTCACCCTCATCCCGCGAGTGTCCCTAGCCTATTCTTCCCTGTCCTTTTATTGTGCTCTCTGGAACTCCCATTCTATTGTTTTTAAATGCATTTCATATTAGTTATGTGCCCTATCCTATTTATTCCTTTGTATATATAAGAGGCAGCATGCTGTAGTGAATAGTGTGCTGCACTGAGAGTCAAGAATCCCTGGGTTCCAATCCTACCTCTGACACCTACTAGCTGTGTGACCTTGGGCAAATCTCTAAAGATCAGTTTTTCTATCTGTAAAATGAGGAGACTGGACTCGGTTACCTCTAGGTCCCATTCCTACTCTAAATCTAGGATCTTGTATCATGTATTTCATTCTCTATAGACGTGCTGTTCCCCTGCCTCCTCCCTCCCCCACCCCCAGAAAACTGAAGCACCCTGAGGGTATTATAGACAGTTTAATTTTTGTCTCTGTACCCCCAGCACCTAGGACAATGCCTCGCATAGAGTAGGAGCTTAGTAAATGCTTTTCTTCTACTGAATTGACCTCCAGAGTAGGAAAAGACAGAAATCATCAGATCACCTAGTGCCTCCACCACTGCCCTCAATGTCCCACACTCCTGTGGCTCAGGGCAGGCATCTGATCCTGGCATAGTGGGCTTTCTCCACAACATGACGTCTTGCAGCCCAACACAGGTCAACCAGTGCACAATAACAGACATTTTCTATACCACTATACCACGTATGAGAGAGGACTGGCTTTTCCAATTCAAGACATCTGACCGTTTAAAAAAAAAATAAAGACATGCAGAAGCAAGATTGCAAATAAGGTAGCACAGTTGTGAACTCATAGGAAACAACAGTAGCCAGTCTAGCAGGTGAGTGTATGGAGACCAATCAGGCTGCTCAGTGAGAAGGTCATCGACATCAGGAAGGAAAAGAGTGTGCCACGTACTGTTTGCAAGCGGTCCTAGGTTTTGCAAACTGTAGATGTGCATGAAATAACAACCAGGAGTTATGTAGCCCTTCAAGGATTCCAAAGTGATTATTTTCCCTGTGAGCTAGTTGGTAAAAAGTATTTTCCACCCCCATTTAACATCAGAGGGAACGGAAAGCTTCAGAGACATTAACTGATCTGCCCATGGTCATTCAACTTATCATTTTCTCAAGGTGAGTGCCAGGTTCTAAGCCAGGTCTCCTGACTGCAAACATAGGATTTTCCCCTGTTCATCACTGGGGGCAATAATGAAGAAGAATGGAGTCATGGACAATCCCAAATAATGGATTCTGGAATCATCAAACTTCGGGGCTCGATGGGACACCGGAGAGAGCTTGAAGTGTTTGTCTTTGCAGCAAAGTTGCAGGTGTGGATTCTGTCAGAAACAAACCTGTGCACGTGTTCACACACATACATTTGACTACAGAATAGATGTGTCTTGCTTTAAGTAACAGACATATTACTCCAAAGTTCCGTATAAATCAAATGTCTGCAAACTGACTCCTTTTTGAAAGCACAAGAGCAGTTTGCCCCTTCATTAAAGGAACCCGATGGTGAATTCATTTTTTGGTAAAGAAAACAGTCACTCCCAATTTAACCTGTTTCGCAAGTTTGGACTTTGTTTAATTGCAGGAATGTCCCAGTATTAAACTGATGCTTTCTGACAGGAGGAAACAACATTAGGAGAATGGGAAAAATGAGATCTATGCCCGTCACAGAATGTATTTTCTTCTCCAAAGTGCTTTCCTGAGAGCTTTATTTTGGAAACAGAGTGGAGTAGAGAGGCAGTTGTCCTCATCAAAATGAAAATCTTTCCCCCATCTACGGTATCACTTTGTGGAGGACAAACAACAAAACTAGTAAGGAATCTAACAGTTCTCATTTAGGTATTAAATCCACATGGCTTAGCTTCTTCTTTGATGTAACTGTGCTTTAATTCATTACGGATTACAGGTCTTAGTAAACTGCACGGTCACCAGAAGTAGAGACATCTGGCTTT